AGTATCAATAAAATGTTTAAACTGTGAGTCATTTACAAGTTTTTAGATAAATAAATTAAAATTTTATACTATTTTTAATATTATCAAAGAGGACATACCTTCCTTTCGAACTTATTATAAACGCGAAAGTTTCTCTGTCTGTGTATGTTTCTTACTCCTAACGGCTGAACCGATTTGAATGAAAATCAGTATACAAATAGAGGTACGGGATGGATGCGGGATGCCCACGATCGGTTTGGTTGGCATTCTATGGGGGAGGCTTTCGTCCAGCAGTGGACGGCGATAAGCTGAAAAAAAAAATACAAATAGACTCTGCCCTTTTTATATGTTGGGAAATGTATTTACGCATACCACCTGTAGACATACAGGTGGTTATGTGGGACTCACAGACTAGAAAAACCAGTACTACCTACTAAAACACAACAAAACCTCCCCCGTCAAATAGACTATGCCCTTGACTAACACACTGACTTCTGTAGGCACATAGATCAGATTTTCCATAAACTTATGAGAATTTAATTTAATTTAATAACGTATTAGAACCATGTACATAACACAATAGTTATCAAAACAACACTATCGCTATTGTGAAAATAACACATATAAAGTTACTTGACGTCACCAACAATAACTAATTAACTGAATATAATGAACTATAATTATTATTATGGGATCTTAATAGCATTGTTATTTTTGATTTAGATCCCATCTTGGACGGTTAGATATTATTGGAGATATTTATTATTTATTTACTTACTAGCAGAACTCGCGGCTTCGCTCGCGCTAAAGCCACAAAAAAACTTAAAAACCTTTCATTCAATTTTAATTTCGAAAAATGCTAAAACATGTATTTATTTAATTGTATTAAAGAGCATGAATTACCATTATACCAAGTTTCAAGTAATTCTGATCATAAATATTTTTTTGGGTTGTATAATAATTTGTTTTCCCGTGGGAATGAGTTAATCTCCTGCGGTAAAAAGTAGCCTTTGTCACTCTCCAGCCCTCCAACTATCTCTACACAAAAAATTATGCCAATCCGCCAAGCCGTTTCGACGTGAAAGTAAGACAAACAAACAAACAAACACACTTTCACATTTATATTAGTATGGATTTTAAGTGCAATACAATACCTCGTTTGTCCATTACCTATATCGGTACATCAATAAATACTTGGAGATCCAAGTAAAGCGGGTTCAACTCTGACATTTTCACGTGCGAATCATTTTTCAACATAATTATTACGGAGAAGGAAAACATCGTGAGAAAGCCTGCAAGTTTGAAAGAACCTAGCAAGTTTTCGAAAGATATGTGTAGTTCGCCAATCTGCATTTGGCCAGAACACCAATATTTACCAATATTAGCCTATGGTCTGATTTCCCCCGTATTTAAGGGAGGCCCGTGCCCAGTAGTGGGACGTTAAAAAGAACAGAATGCATACAATGCATACAAATAAAATTCCATTAGCAAGCATCATGTTTTGAAAATATCTCCTTGTTATTGAAATTCGAGCTGATCGCAATCATGATATGGATATGACGTATCATATTGTACTGCAACGACATTTATTGATATTACCATACAAACTCTTTTGTAATTAATTTATTATGTTATAAGTTTATTTATCCCTAATATATGAAGAAATATTGACGGTAAATAAAGGATAATTGTGCAAAACAGATTTTCCATTCATTGGGCAATGTACCTAATATTGAGAAAAGCTCTATCTAACACAAATTTAAAAGTACCTAGCATTTTTTTATTATAACAATCGAGCAGAGATTACTCATAAAGTATAGTCTATCCTTGTTGTACTCGTACATATATACCTACATAAGAATATATTAAACTAACGACTTACCCTGTCTTCCTTTGGGTGTGTCCCTAAGCTTGGTTTAGGTAAGTATAAAAGACAAATGTCCAAAGATTTTTTTGCTCCAGAAACTTTCGCAGTCGTATAACACACCAGAGTTTCATCACAATCAGATCAGTAGCTTAGAAACGCATAGAAGACAAACATACAAACATTCATTTTTATTATATATAGGTTAAATTCACTTGATTATAATCCATATTTAATATTATAAACGTGAAAGTGTGGTTGTTTGTTTGTCCTTCTTTCACGTTGAAACAGAGTGACGGATTAGAATGAATTTTTGTGTGGAGATAGTTGGAAGGCTGGAGCGTGATATAGGCTACTTTTTACCGCGGGAGACTATCTCATTCCCACGGGAAAACACGTTATAATACAAAAAAAATATTTATAATCAGAATTACTTGTGAAACTATGAAACCTACCGTTTTAGTTTTTTTTGTAGTTTTAGAGCGTAGCCGCGGGTTCTTCTAGTATTTCCATAAATCGAAATCGATAAACAACATAATAAAACGTCTGACTTTTCATTACGATGCAATAGAGATCAACCATTTCATGATAATCCATAGTACCTAGTACATACTATCTTATCATAGCATATAAAATAACAATCATTAAAATATGTATTATAATAATTGTAGTTTTACAAAATACTCGTAATATAAAAATATACTATATCTACGTAGTGGACCTGTGCTATGAAATTACCTGGCCGGCCTTGTTTAGTAGTTAGCATGTATGGTATGCCTGTAAACTAATATCTAGGCTCAAGTCTCGAACCATACCAAGTATAGTTACGGGATTTATGTTAAGAATTTGTAAGTGATAGTCCATGTTCCCAACCTTGTGATTTGAAGAGCACGTTCTTATCTAAGGGCTGCTCTTTCATCTTTTGCATCGAATTGCCGGCCCTGCTTACTACGGGAAAGAAAGGAATAGAGACAATTGCACACACACTCACTATATATTATAAACTACACCATATAAGGAATACGTCCTTCAAATTTCACGTTTCTACGACCAGCGGTTTATAATAAGCGGTTTGTTTCGATCCATCAGTCAGTCGGTATCACCACAGGATGCACCTCTCCTTCTCAATTCTTCCTTCAGCTGATCTGACTTCCAGGTACAATACATTGCACAGGTAAGATGCGACCACAATAGAAGCAAAAAACTAAGTACAAAAGAGATATCATAATAAATTGCTTAACCTTAGACTGAATGTAAATATATGTGGCGCCCTCCTTCCGAGGAATCTTCCCCATTGAAATTACTAGAAAAGTTTCGAAATATCGAATACTAGAATGTTCTTTGTTTATGTATATAAAAAGGCCGGCAGTGTGTCGAGAGATCAGTCCCCCCGTCTGACTCCATGATGAGTCCGAGCGGGACTGACCCAGGGACACACCCATATTAGTGGGCGGCGATCGACACCATAGTCAGAGGGCTATGCCCTGATACCATTTCCCCACTGCCCTTGCGGAGATGTGAGAAGACCCGAAGAGAGAGATCAGTTGAATTTCAGAGCTAAGAGAAGACTGAGAAGAAATAGGTAAAAGTGGAAAAGTGTAGTAAAGTTATAGTGAAAGTGTGGTTAAAAATTGTGTTCAGAGAATGAATTAAGTCAAAACTGTTTACGTACTGCGTGTGTTTGTTTTATTATTCGCCATAAATTGCTCTAGTGAAACAAAAGTAATAAAATATCCTTGGAGTAAAAGACGATTTATTTCCAATCCCCTAACTCGAAGAACGTAACAATATTTTATTTTAAAACTACAAAAACTTTGGATAGTTGATAAAACAACATATTATTTATTTGAATAACGGGTGCGATTTAATTTTTCCTGTGGCCTAAAAACTTCTTTATACAAGAACCCTAACAAGAACCTTATATGGTGGATGTAACTAGCTTAAGAAAAATGTAAGAAACATCCCAATTAAGCACGCACTTATTATGTACATATATTATAAGTGATGTTAATATACATCATATTATGTATAATTGAATTATTTGATTTATTATAAGTATTCTTTGGAGTGGCTTTGATTTAATTTGACAATTTTGCAAAATTTTTGCTAAATTACCAGACAAAACTTTCGCATTTGCTTATATTAGTAAAAAAATATAGCGTTCATAAATACATATATTACTTATATATAATAACTGTAATTATAAATAATTTATGAAGATTTACATATTACATCATTTATGTCAATCACGTTAAATATCTCACGTGTTCTCCCACTGTGCACTGTTGGCAGCTGTTAGAAAATCTTCCTAAATTCTGAAACATAAGGTTTAAAATTAAATATATCACATCTAATTTATGTGTAATTTCGATGCGATTTTCTGCCATACAACAAGTCATTGTCAAGGCCAGTAAATTGTAATGCTTAGAGAATACAGAATACTTTGTGGTATTATGGATGAGCCGATTTGGCTCATGTTCTTGAAACATGAGTCATATTATGATAGTTTATATATTTTTTTATATTTAACAAGAAAAGTTAATAGGTACAGGTATACAAAAAATAAGGAATATTCTAAATACTATTTATATTTTGTTCATATTAGGTATACAATTATATCATCTGTAATACTAGTCAAGTGTGATCGTAGTAAAATTTTGTTGTAAGAAACTGAATAATTTGTAAATACAATTACTTTTCTTATATTATTATACAAAATTACTAACACTTTAAATCTATCTGCAAATGTATAGATATTTTAAATTGCTGTTTTAATATTGCAAGGCGCTTAGCAAATACTGAATTGCTATTATATTATATGGGTATTATTATTTATTTATTTTTAGTTGATATAGAAATAAACTTTAAATATTATTAAAATATAATATAAGTGTCACATTTTGCAATGAAACCACTATTAACACAGATAATAAAGCGCACGTAAAAGTTTTACGTCAACCTTTGAAATGTCAAAGTCATCTGACTTAATTCTAGCAGATAAATGACATTGACAAGATATCGACGTCAACAACTTCGCAGTTCGCGATGTTTTTGCAAAACAAAACAAGTCGACAATCGACATTCGTTAAGTGTTCGCGCGTTATTTAGTGTTTTAAATCAGTTTACAAATGTTTTGTATTTGACACAATAATCCAAAATGCGTTCAAGCTTGTTTCGTCGTCAACGCTATAATAGCTCAGAAACAGAACCTTTACTTGCTGCAATACCTCACCCGAGCCTAATTCAAAATGAGGTATAATTCAATTCTAAAGAGAAACTTTAATTGTTACATAAATAATTATTCTAGTTATGTTATTATTACTCATTATCTGCGTTATTTATGATCGTCTTCGTAACAATTTTATCGTGATCCGCATAATCAAATATTATCATGCAGACCTGTTTTTGTTTACTCACATAAATGTGATATTTAAATACATATAAGAATTTTCTTGTTCCATATATAATATTAAATATAAAGTATAAATAATTTTAATGATAATATTCATAACAAAAAAATATTATAGTTTTTCTGAATAAATATTTACTATTTAAATAACCTGATTATAAATAATAAAACACTGAAATTAAATAAAAAGAAACCGAATTAATTTGCTTAAAAATATTAAAACAATTTTACTTTAGACAATAATATATAAATTTATTTCGATAAGTCGATAATGTATAACTTTGTCTATTCCAGCAAGCAGAAGGCAACAACGGTGCCATGGCTGATGTGGGGGTATCACAATCAGTACTAGTTGAGCCAAGAGGGGACAATGGAAGAAAGCTACCGCAGTACATTGCCGCCTTGTCAGGTTTGTAAACTATAAACATATTCTGTCATAGTTCCATTTAATATGAACTGTACTAATAAACAAATGCATAATTTTGAGATGTTAATCAATTCTGGAATTAATTAATTTGAACATTTACAATGTTTATTCTAAGTGTGTCTTTAGAGTTAAAGTTTAACTATGTTTAAACTCCTGACAATAATCATAGTTTAGTTTTAAAAAGAAACACATTTGGATCAGTTTGTACCCTACTTGCTGTGCCAGAAGTCGCGGGTTCGAGTCCCGCTGTGGACATTCATTTTCATGATGAGCATGAATGTTTGTAGTCCAGTCATGGGTGTTTATATTTATATGTATGTATTTAAAATTAATATAATATGTGGAGTGTATCATCTATCTAGTATCCATAACACAAGCCTCATAGCTTACCATGGAACTAAATGATGCTGTGTGTTAATGTCCAAATATATTTATTTATTAAAAATATACCCATGCTGGTATCTAATCCAGGAATTTAAATGTGTAATATTTAAAAAAAAGTTTGCTTTAAGATAATAATAATAGATCAATAATATTTCCTGTGGAAGGTTACAACATGATAAGTATTTTTCATTCATAACTGTAATAATGTAACCTTGCAAATGTAAATGCTGTATTTATCTACATTTTTATCAATAATTTCTATTCTATTATTACTGGCATAGATATTAAAGTTTTTTTTTTTAATTTCAGCAACTCTCGGCGCTTTGGCAGCGGGTTCGATGCTCGGGTGGTCTTCTCCGGTTATTTTCAAAATAACACAAAGTAACAGTACAGATTACAATTTCGATGTGTCTGCAAGCCAAGGTGATTGGGTGTCGTCTCTCATCAATCTCGGTGCAGCGGCAGTATGTTTTCCCATAGGACTTATAATGGATGCGATAGGACGAAAAACTACGATGCTTTTACTTATTATTCCATTCACATTAGGATGGCTTTTGATAACATTCGCAACAAATGTCGGAATGTTAATGGCTGGCAGGTTTATCACTGGTATAGCAGGTGGAGCTTTCTGCGTAACAGCACCAGCTTACACGAGTGAAATTGCACAAGACTCCATCCGAGGAACTTTGGGCAGCTATTTCCAATTGATGATAACAGTTGGTATTCTTTTCGCATATGCTGTCGGAAGCTACACAAGCGTTTTTGTATTCAATATCCTTTGTACTTTGATCCCCATTATCTTTGGTATCATCTTCTTCTTTATGCCCGAGAGTCCCAACTTTTTGGTTGTAAAAGGCAGATCTGAAGAGGCTAAGGAAGCATTAATAAGATTACGTGGCAGGAATTATGATGTTGACAGTGAATTGAATAATCTCCAAAACAAAGCAGAAGCTGCTAGTAATGACCCATCATCCTTCGTCACATCCATCACAAAGAAAACTGCTTTAAAAGCTCTATTAATTTGCTACGCCCTTATGTTGTTCCAACAATTGTCTGGTATTAATGCGGTTATTTTCAATACGTCGGCCATCTTTGATAGCGCAGGCGCAACTATTCCGGCTGCAATCGCAACTATACTTATTGGTGTTATTCAAGTTATCGCCACTTTCATTTCTAGTTTGGTCGTCGATAAACTGGGCAGACGCATTCTCCTTCTGTTCTCTGCTTTGGTAATGTGCCTATGTTCAACTGCTCTTGGCGTATTTTTCTTTTTAAAAGACACTCACGGTGGCGATTCTTCAATCGTTGAGTCGATATCCTGGTTGCCTCTACTTTCTCTCTCTTTGTTCATCATCGCGTTTTCCCTGGGCTTCGGACCCATTCCTTGGATGATGGCTGGAGAGCTTTGTCTGATTGATATCAAAGCTTTCGTCGGTTCTACCGCTGGAACTTTCAATTGGTTACTCAGTTTTACCGTCACAAGTACTTTTAATTCTTTAAACACTGCCATTGGCTCGGGACAAGTGTTTTGGATGTTTGCCGGTATTATGCTTGTTGGGTTCGTTTTCATATTCTTTGTCGTACCAGAGACAAAAGGAAAGAGCGTTGACGAAATTCAAATTATGCTTGGTGCGAAACCACAGACAATTAATGGAGATGAGAAAAAATAAACAATCATAGAGACTGATTAAGTATTTTTGTATGAAGACTTTCTAGGTAGTCTATGGTTGGCTAACTCTAGTTAGTTATCTTTGGTGTCAACAATTCAATGTGCTTGTAAACAATTTAGTTAATGCTGTTTAACCAAAGATTCAACCGTCTGTTTTTCGTCAGCGATAGTTTTAAAATATAAATACTTAGCTCTATTTATTTACTTTATATTTATTTATTTATAATTTATACTTCGAGTGCAGTTTTCTTTTTATAAATCGACTTTTGTCTCCTCAACGGGAACAATCTGATATTGTTAGTCTAGGTTATAAATGATGTATATATATTGCAATTTTAATACATTTTTGACAATTTTAATTAAGAAAAAATACAGGTGGAAAATTGCCATATAAAAGTATAAATTTGTATGACAGCTATATATTGCCATATTTATGTATATAGAAGTAGCAAGGCTGTTATCGTAGTAGTAGAATTTGCTGTTTAGTCCAAGTGATCATGATAAATGTTTAAAGAAAATTTAGTAATTAATACAAGATGTTTTATGCATTTATAATAAATTTAATTGATAACTCGCAACTTATTATAAAAAAACCTTTTAAATTTGAATTATTCGTTGTTTTATTTGCAAATAATAAAAATGTACCGTTCTAATGTTACTTAATTTATAAGAATGGAGGCAACTTCAATAAGTTCGATATTTTATACTATTTAACACTGTTCATTTCGTATTATAATTGTCCTGCTCTAAAATACTCTTTAAATACTGCACAATAGGCAAAATTACTACCAAAACTGATGTTTAACAAGCCTAGTTTCAGAGCAATATAATTATAATTCGAATACTATACATGACGTGACCTCTATTATTATATAATATATAAAATCTAGTTATTATGTCTTAATTATTCGTATCTATGACACAAAATCATAAACATATCAGACAAGACAAATATAATACGTAACTTTCACTCGAAGAGAAAGCAGTAAGTGTTTTAGGGAAAAAGAATAACAATAATATATTATAATAAAACTGTGTCATTACGTTTTAATTAAAGATAAATAACTAAATAAAATATTACGAAAAAGGTTTCCTAATCGTATAGGAGCTGAATAGGGTGAATAAAGTTTGTCATTGTATTTCTGTAAAAAAATATCTCTTGTCGTATGACTTTGGCATATCGGATTTTAACGGATGATATATTTTTATATGAAATTCTTGTATTTTATGTATTTTACGAAATAATACCGTAACCATAGTTGGAATAATATTGAGCCTCACAAAATTAAATTCTATAGAAAAATAAAACAAATATGCAGTCACTTTTTATAGGTCATTGATTATACACTGAAAAAAATAGGCCTTATATGAGCCAATAACTATTATTCAAAACTAGAAATAGTGTGGTCGTTATATTGCAAATTACGTGTCTATTCATTATCGTCTATACATAGTATGGGAATTAAATATATATAATATTTTTCATCTATATTAATGCGGGTTGCCATATTTTGGAGATGAGAATTGATATTGTATTCTGTTTTTTGAAAAAACCTTGTTTTCAATAATTATTCTTTATATGGACTTGTTAAATTATTTGCAAATATTTGTATATATTGTTTTAGAATAAGATAAGTGTGATTAAATGTAAGTAATTACTGATATATGTTGTTTTAATTTTATTATTCCAGGTGAATTTAAATTGGAAAATTCCAGGGTTTTTCTGCACTATATATTTGCTTGAGACCAATATTTATGGAATTCGATAATTCCTAAATTATATATATTTTAAACAGTATGTGCTAATATATTACCCACTGAACATTATTGGGCCCTCTGTGTGTACCGATTTCGATTCCTGCTTAGAGATGCACATTTTTACCATTAGGATATATCTTCCAGTCTGATTATGGCAAAGCTGATGGGCAAATATATTTTTTTATTTTAATTTGTAAGGAAGAGCTTGAAGTTTTTTTAGTACTTAATTTTTCTTTGTTTTGTGCCCATTAGGCTTAAAAGTCGATGTCACAAATATGGAGAAGATAGAGCGATGTCAAATAGAACATAAATAGGAAATTATAAAAAAATGAAAATTAAGCTATTTATATTTTAAAATAAACTTTTTTTAAAGTATTAACAAGGACGGTTACGTATTTAAGTAAGTAAAAATAGGAGGGGTGGTGATAAATAGCTGCTTTTGCCATTTTCGTTAAAATTAGATTGGACAGATTGGGAGAACTTTGTACTGTTTACTGATAAACTGACTGACAAGTTTACTGATTTTTGTGGCCCTTGATTTTCAATCATGTACAGGTAAATATTCAATGAAATTAAATTTTAATGTTTAGGTAACTCACCACTTCGAGAAAGAGCCCGGAAATTGATATTTTTATTATAAACGGGTATAAAAGCAACACGATTAAACTTGGTTTTAAATTTCACTGTCCAATTATATAAAAAAAGTGAAGAAATGCAGATACGACATATCTAAGGATATGGATACTAATAATAATGTGTTCAAACACAAGTGCACTTTGTAGGTATTCCTTCCACTATCAAAGTAGAACAAATCGATACGACCGGTGAGAGATCAGGCGCAGGACTAACGACTTTAAGTGCCGTTACGTGGTAAAACACCGTAAGCTTCCTAATTCCGAGTTTCTATTGCTTAACAAAACTATCGAAAACTTTATCTGGTCTGACTGAAACCCAGGGCCTCCAAATTTGCAACCGCATATGCTAGCCACCAGACTAACAAAGCAATTAAAAGTTCAGTTAGTTAAGTTAACTGTTAAGGATCAAATAAAAGTAAGATACATATTATAAATAGATTTTCTGTCAGAAAAGCGCCTTTAGTAATTTATGAGCAATACATTGACTATTATATGCCCACAACAAAGATAAAGGAGGTTGTAGTTATTTTTTTATTCATAGCTTTTCCTTCCATATATTAAACACAAGATTACTAATTCCATATATTAAACAAAATATTACTAACTCTTTAAATTCCGCTCAAATGCCACTTAGAAAGTGGAAATATTAAATTTTGACATTGACGAAATTACAACTACGTATTTAAAGTAGCATGAGATCTGATAATTCTAATATAAAGTTAGTTCTAGGCTTCGGTTGGCAATTAAATTCCGATAAACTATGTTTTAATACAAATTATAAGATCCCCGGTGTCATGACTAAACGTAGTACCACTTACTTTCTGTTATTTCACAAATTTTTGGCCTTCTCGCCCCTTGTATTATTAGTATGAAATGCTTATCAGTTTGTAGTGACCGAGCGAGCTGTGCCAGCGGGCGCGGGTTCGAGTCCCGCTGCATTCATTTTTGTGATGAGCACGAAAGTTTGTACTCCGGTCATGGATGTTTATATCTATACATATAATAAAATTCTAATTAAGTCAAGTAAAATTCTGACCGCATCACGGAAAAAACACTGGAGGGTTTAGAAATTTGGTATGAGGATAACTGGTTATCCGGGTCAACATATAGGATACTTTTTACTGAAATAAATAATAAAAAAAATATTTTTCAGGAAGTGAATCTACATCAAGATGATGTCTTAAATATTCTAACCGTAATCAGCCGTAGTTCGCAGATGTCCCATCAATGTACATAAATTGTTAAAAATAACATTTTACACTTTATTTGAACTTGACAATGACTTTTTCAATATCATCAGACCGTGTCAAAATACGCACTCAGGTGTGACTAAAATTTACATTTTCAAGCTTCTGAGAAAATTATTTTTATAGTGTTTCAGGAGTGGTGTGCGATATACGTATTTTAAGTGATATTTCAGTCTGTAATTGAATTACAGGTGTCAATTGTGTCATATACGTAAGAATATTTTTTTTTTTAATTTTAGATGTTTAATTTTTATTTTAGGAGTATTTCCTTAAAATTAAAAATTTCTCTGTAATAATATTATGATTAGAATATAATGTTCTCACATATGTATTTAAAATATATGTTTTTCAATTACATAAGCCCCTTTATGATAATTAAAAATAGTTTCAAAATTTAGTACCTGAAAACTTAGAACTCAAACACAATGAAACAAATAGTGATTTAGTTTTAAATGTTTTTATTATTATTATGTCTCAAAAAAAGGGAATAAAAAAGTTTAATGTTAACCCAAAAAGACAAAAGAGGATCCATATACAACTACTTCGTTCTTCTCTTTTTCTTTTTCTGACCAAAAACCAAATTCTTAGGTTTTGCATATTAGTATACTCTTACAATGCAGTTTATGTGTTTTTTCTCAGAAAAAAGATATTTTCCCGCGGTAAAAAGTATGTTGACCCGGCGGTTGAAAGTATATTATACTATATGTTGACCCAAATAACCAGCTATCACCATACCAAATTTCACCAAAATCCCCCCAGTGGTTTTTCTGTGATCCGGTAACAGACAGACAGATAGACAAACAGACAGACAAAAATTCTAAAAACTATAGAATCGGCCTCTGTATCGATAATAATGTTTATTTCAATAAGATTTTCCAAAAAATATTTAATGTACAGATTCGGCTTAGTTACAATTTTATTATATGTATAGATTACATGATTTTCTACTGATTTTGTGGCGTGCCAATTTTTATTTATATAGATGTCTAATATTCACGTAAATCTAAGAAAGTATTAAAATAAGATTTTTTTAAAGTGGTTCAGTACATCCAGAAATTAATGCAAAAAATTAGACAAACAAAGAAACTCTTCAGGTTTACGTAATAGTATAGAATATAACGTGTCATAACAGCTCGAGGTAAATTTCTAAGAAATTAACTAAAATTCTAAGAAATCTATTGTTAACTGACACGCCGGCGTGTCCGCGGTCGTGAAGGGACTAATAAAATCTACAAAATCTTAATAAGATTTTCTTTAGATTAGGTTGATAAAAAAAACAATAACTAATAGTAAATTATAGCATTTCCTTAATTATAGATATTATTTATTATACTCAGATACAGAAAGCAGTGATTTAT